TCTTGAGACAGTGGTATGTGTATATCCCCACACACACATGGGTCGTCTACTGCCCTAGGAGTCGGACATTGTCTCAAGGGGCGCCCCCCCCCCCCCCCCACCCCCCCGTGAAATGTTTAGCATACACGTACCATCGGCTCGGACAGTATGACGATGATACGTGAATTTACACAAACGTAATCCATATATGATGGTCACAGGCGCCCTTAGTACAAATAGGAGTAATAAATTATTCAAGCTTGTACTAATTGCGTGGTATATCTCCGATCAGGCCTATTCATGCTCTACCACTGCATAGTACAATTACACCTAATAGTTAAGAGATCAGGCCTATTCATGCTCTATCAATGCATTAAGTTTTACACCTAAATAGTTAAGAACATTTGGAAGACTTGTAACTATGCGTCCGCGCCTAGAATGTTCTTATTTTCCATCCACCGACTCACTGATGCAGCAAAAAGTCTTTTGTCGCGAACAAAGAAAACTGTTTCGTCGGGTATCACGTTGATGGCGATAGCAGACAATGCAACGGCTGTTGCCAGCGCTACTTGGCAGTGCTATCCGCTAATAACGGGCATTCCGCAAACGCGCTTCCGCTATCACGTCAGTAGTTTTACAAACACATGTCTGCGCCTTCTAACAGCATGAATTCGTTACTTTATAGACAATGATGAACAGTGATGGAGAGCAAATGGTGAACATAGTGTATTCCTGTTCACCTGGGCCCACTTTTTAACACTTGACACCATTTACAAACCCTACAGTGTTGAAGAGGACAACGGGTGGCGGTAATCACCTAAAATCCGGTGAAACGCCTGTTCGCTTGACATGGTGGGTTGAAGATGCGTTGCCAGCATGAAAAAAGTAGGCTTCACTCGCCGCTCTTCTGTTAGACTGTGGTAATTCCCCTGATAAGATTTGCCCATTCGTGCAACAAGCTGTTGCTTGGCCGAGCTATGGCCAGGACGAAAGTGGGATTACAATGGATTGAGGAGATTGTGTTCCACAAGGTACAAAATTAATTTCTGTGGTGTTAATTGACATGATCGATTCAAAAATATTATGTTATTAATGATGAACATTACAAAATCACACTATTATCTTCCACAGCTTTATCTACCGATAATAGCAAGCAGATTAGGAGAAGTTTCGCATGTAAACAGTGACCAGTTGGCGAACATCGTTTGAGCAACAAGTTTCGTGATACGACTCTATGTTATGGAAACTAGAGACTGGTGATTAGTAAAATTATTGGCGAGCCTACGCCTAACATTCAGTGGTCGAAGTTGGCAAACCGCCAGCCTTGACCGTGCACAAACGCCAAATGGATAACGCATTACGCGTGAACCTTTTGTTTTTAATTTTTAACTGCCTGTTGTATGCGGTATGCTTCATACATACAAAAAGGTTTACATTGACTAGTACATCCGATTTTTTTTATGGAATCAGAAACAATCCGAACAACAAAATGTAAACAAAGTGAATTTGCCGCATACATACGATTATTTATGCGGCAAAAATGCGTTTTAAATAAGTTCTGATCCCTTCACGGTTGAATTAAACATATTCTGTTTAATTAAGAAGTCGATTTGACTGCCGTAGCAGTATAGATAAATGATCATTAATTTTAGCTTCGCTTATTCCTCGTTACCTTGTTTTCTAATTGACAACACAAAGAAAAAACATGTATTCTTTTCGAAAGCTAGTTAATGTGATAAATAAGAAGAAAGAAAAAGAAACCTATATAAATATGTATATTATATGTCAATAACCATGTGAAAACATTACCACGCTCAGTTCGCAAATGTTTGCAAAGGTGTTACAAACACCCTTTATTGGTCGCCATGGCGTATGGCCTTGACGTGACGGAATGATGAAATGATGAAATCGTCGATCAAATGCGAATTTTATTGAGAGAAACTGGTCTGGTAAATTCTTAATTTGCACCGGATCGTGCCTCATAAATATAACATGGACGAATGCACGTATATATGGCACAATAGTTTATGATATATCATTTGCCTCCCTTGTTGTTTCATGGGTTAATGTTCTCACTTATTCATTTATTTTGTTCAGTGAATTTAAGAAAAGATGCAGAGGGAGAGAGGTAGAAGGATATATCTTTTTCTTCAAGGGCGTGGGACAATGGAAGATATCGACTCTATCATCCTATTTACGATGTTTGTTCCTTTGTGGCACTTTAGAGACCTAAATATTGATTACTTACGTCAATCGAAATGTCTTAATCAACATAAAAGTAATCAATATTCATGTCTACAACGAGACGCCCATACATTTACACAAAAAGTTATTACACTGCATAAAAATAATGTTCTATTGTAACAGCATATTGATCTTTTCGAAAATTTTTGCAAGTATTAAGACGGATTTTTTGCTTTTTTTTTAAATCTAGGTAGTTGTTTATGTAGACGGAAAGTATGTATACCATTAAACAGTCTTATCAGCTTATCAAAACACTAAATGATCGATACGAAGCTCGTTTATCAAGCATGTTTTTTCCCCACCATCTCACCTCGGTAAGGTCAAAGTTTGTTGACGCAGCGCGTTATCAAATTATGCACATCCATAGCTGGACCCAACACGCGATCACCGACCATTGACACCGAATTAACTTTCACTTCGAAATAATCAGGCGGCCATTTTGCAATTTGCATGTTATTGGAATAAAAACATTCTAAGGATTTCTATTCATTCAACTTTTTGGACAAAAGCGGTAAGGTTTTTGCTTTTGTTTCTAATGCTATTCTCGTAATATTCGCACAACAACTGTCGCTTGTTCAGAAGACAGTAAGGCTTATAACGTAGCCATTTACTTTTCACAAAATTGTTTGCAATTATGAATGAATCTCCAAAATTTAAGGGCAAATTGCACTGTAAAGTAAACTAAAGTAACAGCACTATAAATTACCCCTCTGTACAGAGGGTATCAGGGCATGTCCACCAGGCGGCCCCACTGCGGATTGGCGGACTTCACCCATTTTCGAAAGATTTTTTTTGTTGTTATTTCAAAAACATGCAGGTTTCCTCACGATGTTTTCCTTCACCACCGAGCACTTAAAATCGGCACTTAAAATAACAATTTCATTGGTGCTGGCACCGGGGATCGAACTCGGGTTGCTCGCATAAATCGAATTAAAGGCGAGCGCCTGGACACTCGGCTATCACGGCTCTAAAATTAGAAACGCAGAAGTATAAGTTTCACGTCACTCAGTTCTCTGCAACGTCGGTACTTCATCCCGCCTTACAAACGAGGTAGAACATGCGAATAATATTAAACAAAATTCAAAGAAACATTTGGTATTAGATTATAATTCTTTTTAATTTTGACTTAATGAGAGTACAGAGGAACACCGTTGCAAATAACAAGTAACTAGAAAATAACATAATTTTCTACTATTGTGAACAATGGCCGTCACACTATAAATTACTACTCAAAGATTAAAATGTTTTATAACCGTGGGTGTTTGCCATGTTCACTGTAATTTTCCTTTCATTCGCACTAAAAACCAAGAAAGGAGGGTAAGGAGTTCGGATTGTGTGTCGTTCCTTGTGATTACCAAACGGCTGAAATAATTTATTGAACGAATTGTCTTTAGGTTCGTCTTCTTCCTTCCACAGTAGAGTTTTTTAGTAATTTCAATTATTTACTCGTTACAGGTGAAAAAGTTATCTAAATTATTGATAGGCCAAAGATTTACATCTTATTTGAAAATCATTCTTTATTCATTATCATCAGTTATTTGAAAGTAATTTTAATCGCAACAAAAACTATGGGGTTCGAAAATCCAATGAAGGAGAGTTCTCTAAATAAAGTGACTTTCGTCTGAATGATTCTGTCAACGGTTTTTTCGGTCTGATTATTATAACACATAAATTTAAAAACAATACATCGTTCGATAACAAACAAAGTTTCTCAATATATTCAAAAGTAAGTTCTCACGGAAGATCCAATTGTTGCGTTTCACAATGACTCAATCCGGACTTTAGGACGTGACGTCGGGTCAATCTTTGTGCTACACTAAAAAAATACCGCGTGCGCTTTCTCGCAATTTCTGCCACGAAAGTCTTGTAACGACGTATCCACGATGATCGTGATCCGTTGGTTAATTACACACCCGCTTAGCTCCCTATATGGTGGGATCGTGTCATACATAATGTTGCTATGATTCTCATGCGATTAGATTTTGCGCCATGCGATGTCGATTCTGAGAATTTTATTTCTTGCGTAACATTGTTTGAAATACAGAAGAGTGTTTATTTTGATGTCGACAAATTTTCTTTTTTATGGGTAGATGGCATAGCATAGAGATAGCAATACATTAGGACCCTTAGGTTTCTAGACGAAATGCAGAATGTAACATCTATTTCGCGCCACTCTTCCATTGAAAAGTTGGTACTTGTCTACTTTTTTATCTGTGAAAGTGGAATGCGACCTAGCCTGCTCACCTGATGTTAAGTAATAACCGCCGCCGGTGAACATTTACAATACCCGTAGGATTGCAGCTTATTTCACTCATCGGATGAAATGCAGAAATATGCAATGCACTTCCACTTTACGCCGGTCTTCTGTGTGGCTGTGGTAATTCAATGGACGACTCTGCATATTCGTGCAATGGCAAAGGCTGTGGCATGATCCTACCACTGCCATAAACAAGCTTTTATATCATAGTAATATAAAAAAAATCAATAAAACAATGTGAATTATTAACTAATTTATTTTCAAACTCTATAAATGTAGAGTTCTGCTGTTTTGACGAAGTTCATCTCAACCTAAAGACAAAATGTTATCTTAACCTGAACTTTATGATTGAAACAAAATTGAATCGTTGTTTATACAGAAAAGCACTGCAGTGTAACGTTATCTAATTTGATAACATTAAAAAAAAAGGAATTAAAAAGTTAGCGCGTCCGTATCCATTTTTTTGCGCGGCCAACATCCCGCCGAGCGGCGTCGCCGAAGTACTCTTGATTGTTAGCAAATGCGTGCGAGTGGCGAGTGCAACAGGTTCGTAGCTCGTAAATCTAGTTTCTCGATCGGCCGCCTCGAGTTCCGTTCGAGGAGCAGAAGGCAAGAGTAAAGCCGGGGCGCGGCGGCCGGCGGCGCCGTCTACGCGTTTTTGCTGCGTCTGTTACGACGATGATTTACTCTGCAACGAATTGGTAGTGACGTACACACGATGATATTAAATTCGATTTCGATAATAGAATTTACTATAAATGGTTACGCCATTTAGTATACGTCTGAACTTTGCTCTGAAGCTTGCCTTCAAATTCGATAGACATTTACTGATGCCAGGCGTATTTCCCTTAATTCTTGTTGAGTTCCAAAAGGAATTGTCTACTTTAGGTTTCAGGTCATGATGACAGTCGATCTGAAGATGAGTAGAGCGCATATCATTGGTTTGATTTTTATGAACTTATTTAATATAGACTATATAGTAAAAAAATAAAAATGTGAATTGAAATACGAGAGAGAGAGAGCCGGACGCGAAGGAATTAATTTGCGAAAAGAAATATTCATATAATCGCAACACTAGTGAATTAACTCTCGCCCGTGCCCGTGTCGGACTTTCGCGTCGGCGGCTGCCGCGCGTGCGGATTCCAGCTCCGAGGCGGTTTATGAGTATGACATCATAAGTGATGTCTCCTTTATAGAGGGGCTAACGAAGCGCGGCTGGCAGGGCAGCTTGCAAAAACCTCAAAATGGTTGAAAAAGTTTTTGCGCCACGGCTCGCGATGGCGCGGCGGCCGAGAGGGGTTAGCGGCGCGCGCGCCATCCGTTGGCGCGCCAGTCAACCGCCGCTCCCCGCTGCGCGCGTATGTCTCGTCAAACCGCGCAACTCTGCTGCGACCGCGCCGAACCGAGACCGTTATCGTCCCAAATGACGCCCTAATGGACGAACGGAGAGGTATTCTTTGCATGCTTGTGTCAGTGTGAACTTTCGGTGGAGTGCAGTGTTGTGTTCATGTTGATATGGAGGAGGTCCGCATATCGGATTGGCCTGAGCCGCCAGGCTCGCATGCATGGCTGCCCGCTTATGGTTTCCAGCATGAATTATTGGATAAGGATGACTATTTCGGCTCCAATGGTGAGTGTCGGGTGGTTGGAGTTCTACTCCAGCTCGGTAGCCATTCGAGTCAAAGTTTTTAGTAGCGTATTCTAACGTGCGTTTGAATGTAATGCGCGAATTGAACTCCTTTTCGAGTTCCAAGTTTCGCTCTGTGTGTGACAAAATGACGTGTATTTTTTTTGCACGTGGCTTATTATTAAAAATATTAACTTTTCTTAATGTCACAAAAATTTAATTTGTGTTACTTTACTCGATGTTGCAACTTTTTATTGCAGATCGTCGAAACAAAAAGTTGAGATAAGGAATGTTTCGTTACTCCGCTTAGTGATTTTACAATTTAAACAATGGACTACACGTTTATTATATGTTCAATAAAATTCATTAAAGTTCCAAGGCAACAGCTATTTAAGCTTATCTACTATTAATTTATGTATCTGTATAAGTTATTAATTACTGATAGTCCACTTTAAAGTTTATTGGTATCTTGGAAATCATAATATGTTTAGAAAAATAAAAACAAAATAGCGAAAATCACAATAAAAAATAGGTAACCAGTTTTGTTCGGTATCCATCTTTGTAGCTATTTAAATTCACAACTCTGATAAAAACTTTCGAACTAGTTGTTTCGTAAATATTTAAATTAATACACAACTTATTGTAATTTAGTATAGAATATATTATTCAATATACCTAATTTATGTTAACATGGACAGAAATAGAGAGTAGCATAGCATTTTAAAACGGAAATCATTCCTTTTAATAAAAGACTTTTTACTGCGAATTTCTTGCTCGAGAGAAAATTGCTGTCTCGTGAAAGTACCTATTCAATTAGTTAGGCTTCCCAACTAAATATAAAGATTATGCCTTTTCATATTGCTGCTCATGTATATGTACTACTTTCTTTATATTGTATATACATATAACGTATACTACTATCTGTATATATACTATCTTAATATTATCAAAGAAAAACCATTCAAAAATGTTACGATGATAGAGAAACTGATATTATAATAAAAAAATAATCCGACATGCTTATTTTTTAAGGAATAAATGATCAAAACTTGTTATTTACACTGAGGAAATCCGCTATTTTAATGGCAACAAAATATAAATATGCACAAGTTACGCACTCCCAGCGTGCCAATGCAGCGAAGTCTCGTAAAAAATAAAAATTAATAACGTTAATAGAAATCGATAAACGTTATTAAAGTAAGATATACAATTATCACGGATTTTATGATGTAAGAAAGTTTTTTAACATAGATAAGATAATAGTTGTTTTCATCAAATTGATTGATTAGGTTATATTATTATAGTCAGATTTTCTTACATATCATGGCGCCGCGCGAAGTGACGTTACCACGACCACGAAGGTGGGAATCCGTCTTGAAGTACAATTTCACTGTGTAAAATCTAAAAAAAGATTTTTGTAGAATATGTTAGACAAGTTGATTAAGACACATCTCTTAGTTATTATCTAGTGGCTCCCGCTCCTCATTTATGTATTAATCAATTTGAACAATAGAAATATTCAATCTACTCTAGATTGAATATTTCTATTTAATTAATTAATTATCTATTTAAATTTAATTATCTATTCTTCAAATTGTTCTTTAGATAACGACAACGCACCAGAACGTCTCGTGTATACAACTCTACATAATCATCATAATAATCATTTCAGCCAATGCATATATAATAATGTTATTCAGGCTCTTACATTAAAGTGTTGCGATAGTTACGAAAAAAGCTGAGACCGTCAGTTTTACCTTGATCCCAGAACAACGCAAGGTTACCAGACGCACGGTACACGCGTGGATTGTCCGAAGACTTGTACCTAAATGCAAGCAACGCCGCTGCCAACTTTTCCGATCCCAGGTGTTGTATTTAAATTATAGCAATAGTTTTATGTTATTTATGAATAAAAAAAAAGAAAATAATATGAGATAATCGAAACAACATGCAGCGACGATAGAAAGCGACATAAATATTCATGTAGTTATGCTAAACGGTCAATAATATAAACTGAAGGTAGAATATTCGAATTTTCTTTAAAAGGAGCAAATGCGTTGCTGTGTAAGCAAACAAAACATCCTGTGTTATTGTTGGGAAACTTAGTAAAATGCGACGACATACTAAACTCTAACCCGTGGGTTCTGGCTAGCCCACCGGTTCCTCGTTCGATGAAGCTTTTATAGTCTCGGGACTGAAAGCGTTAACATCAGTTAAAAAATACTTAAATGGAAAAAGGAAATACTAATAACTAGTAGTAATTGGTACGGTCTTTGGATTTTTCGCTAATATACGTAATATTAGACTTCGAGAAGTTAGGTTCTCGAATCGATGATCAAATTATCTATCAGTTGTGAAACCATATGGCCACCCTAAGTTTACGCCAGCTGACTGGGTATCATCACCTTTACGATGAACAAACATTTGCGCCTGCCAGAGTCAATTTCATTAAGATCGACAACGTTGCGCATGCTACTCTTCAATACTGTCATAATATATGAATTACTTTAATTAATATCCGTGCATTATATCATCCTTTTTTTAATTCAACCTTCTACCATTTAAAAAAATATATTTTTCACACGTTTCACGTGGGAAGTTGGTGAGGGATAAAAACCGAGAAGCAGAATTCAATGGGTCCTCGATACGCGCAGGCGTTTAATAAAGTGTTTTTTAAACTCTTAAATAAAAAAAAATAAGAAATGTATTCATGAACATACTTTCTTCTTCACACGTATCACGTGCTTTCCACCACCGCTGGGAACCTTCCCAGCTTCTCGGTTTTATTTCTCACCAGGTGGTGAGAAATAAAACCGAGAAGCGGACTTGAATGGAAATGGCGTTTATAAAGGGCGTTATAAATTCCACTGTTCGCCCGTGCGGGGGACGCATGCAGTCAAACCGGTCTGCCGGCCCTAAAGGTCATTTCTTATCCGTACGCGAATCGCCCGCCCCGAGCCTCTTACAGCCGGTTTCAATATCCTATCTAGAGATAGATTCGGTTACTGGAGATAGAATTTTGACGTTAGTAATATGTCAAAAAGCTATCGCTAGTAACCTGTAATCTGTAGATCGAATATAGAAACCGGCTGTTAGTCGCCCGTGCCATGTGTCTAAGAAAGGCTCCCGACAAAAGATGCGTTCAAGGTTGCCAAGAGCTTTACTCAAATTCTGTAGTGTGCGAATTGCATGGCGTTTTGTTCGCGGCACAAAAACATCAATTAGCTTCACAAAGTCGTCGTATGGAAAATGTACGCCTTTTGTATAAAGTATGCACAATGCACGTATTAAATTTTATTTTGATCATCTTATAGAAAAATACACGGAACGTTTCAATGAAATTTATTTTATTTCATAATAGTTTTGGGTTTGATGTAAAATTGTTTAAGATTATTTCATAACGTAATTCGGGATTTATAGACATAAAAAGTTAAATATTTCTCTAAAAATGTAGAGTTAAAAACATGGAAGACCTTGATGCGTCTCGGTGGACGTTGAGATACGCCAGTATCGCTGATAGCTCAATAAACTGTCGATCATAAGGAATGAGCTATATCTGAATCAGTTGATAATGTTAGTACCTAGGTTTTTCCAAAGCGTATAAATTTGTTGAAATATGCAGTTGTAAATTTTATACAATCTTTCACTCGTGGCAAGTAACAGCAAGGATAACGTGATTTTTTTTAGGTGAATGTTTTTCTCTTTTAGGCGAAACGTGTCGATGCAAAGTAGAATTAAATGAAACAATATACAAAATAATACTTTTACATGTATTTGGAATCGAATCACAAGTCAGGGACTATAATTCATGGTTATTACTTTTTTTTGAAGTATGTATAAATATTTCTGGAAACATTTTTACATCACGTTATCTAGACCCAAACTATGCAAAGCTTGTACTATGTTTGGGTACTGGGAACTGATAAACATACTTAAATATTCTTTTTTAAATTTTAATAATATTTATACACCCAGACATTACAGAAACGGTATGTACATCACACAATATTTTTCTAGTAGTGGTAGATCGAATGCACGAACCCTCTGGCGTAAGAGACAACTCCACTAACCACTATGCCAACGGAGTCGTCAAACTTTATTCCTAAAAGTTCATTATTAATATTATTAAAGTTCCATTCAAAACGATAAACAGAGCATACCAATGTCACTGACAATATCGTACCATCCGTCAAAGATGGTTTGGTTCAAATTTGGAACATGATAGTTAGAAACATAGCAATAGAAAGTCAAATTCTTTATGAGTTGCACTTAAATTTGATCTTGATCAATCTAATGTTGAAAAAAAGTAACTCTGTACTTGATCCTATTTACTTTTAAATCACACAGAATTGTCGTTTTAGAAGTTACGCGAACGGGGTTGCGGCTATAGCGTTATTAGAAATATTTGGAGCGGCCGTTAAGGTATTTCCAATATTCTTTATTGGAATGTACAAGCAATTATATGGAACGATAAAGCCCGCCCCGAAACTGTGTCGCACGCCAAGGAATTAGTTACCGTGACTCGATAGTTCCATGTATGTGGGGCAGATTATGTACGCCGCACATTGCGATAGGTTCTTAATATTGAAATCGGGTTTTTAACTGTAACTTTTACTCGAAATACGGATAATATTTTTTGTTTTGAAATACTGATAGGGCGTTTCAATAAGATAGTTTTGAACATGACGAGTAATAACAACGGCGAGCGTTATAAACATACACTTTAAAGTAACTTAATGCCGAATTTTTAAAACAAATCACAAATGGAATCAATGTTTTGTAAATATAATAAGAAGTCGGGGCATTTAATTTTCGAAAGGTTGTCACCCTCGGGTGTAGCAGATGCCCA